AATTCGACCGGAACGCACAATGCCATTGCCAACGTGTATTATGATTATTATTATTATTATATCGTAGTTGTTGTCGTACACGCATGTTAGTTTACTGACTGATTTGTGTATATATTGTGGTGGGAGCAAAAGAGGCAATGAATAGAGCAGAAAAAAATGCATGTATGTATATAGACACAAAACCGAATCACCCGTTACACATCACGGTACAAATCATAATATACAAATGTCTTTCGGGTGTTTTTCAATGGAGGAAAAGTATGAAAAACAAATAAATATTATAAATTCCGTTACACAGACATCTATGAAAAAAACTGCATACCTATTAAAGTCTATAGATTCGTAATCGTATGTAGACCCATAATAATAATGCAATGTGTTATGCGATAATAATAGTTGGCCAAAGTCGTGTCACGTGCTGTGCACCAACTAGGTACACTTACTTTTTGTCTATGTACATGTTTTATTACACACAGCCGAGTCCTAAACTTGAACCTACTCCTTAGCGACGGTAGATTTCTGGATTCTAGATGTCTGTTTTAGTCACGCCCGGATCATCAGCTACTGCGATTCCAGAGACTTAAACGTCAGTACTAAAATGCATGAGCCATTTAGACTTGACTCGAACGGATTAGATGTGCCCTCACACCTCAATTATTTACTGGATAATAAAATAACAATTGTATTATAGAACTTTGAACCGTTCGGCTGTCAACGACCCTATTTCGGGATTTATAAAGTGTGACTATGTATAAGTATCAATTTTTTCTTCTTTATTTCACCCAAAAGACAATGGACCGATTCAATTATAATACGGAACAGATTAATATGCAGACGTAAACGCGTCTGTCGGTTAACGGAGGGGAAAAAAATTACTATCGTCGAATCGATGTGATTCGATCGGCCTTATGCCGATGCTTTATTGTCTTTGAAACGAGGTAAGGCGACACGGAGTGAAAAAAAAACAACTATCAATTGGCAATGGGCAATGTGGAAATTAAATTTAGAAGAAAAAAAACAAAACGACACCGCACGCCTTGTGGTATTGGTCAGAAGACCCGCCGTCGTCGTTCACCGGAAACGAAGTATATTAAAGACATAGGACCAAGTGGTGCAAAAAAAAAAAAAAATGCAATCAAAAGAATCACGTTCGAATCGTACGGCGACGGCGGCCGTTTCTATTCCAATAGTTCCATTTCGGGATGGACGGTCTGTGAGAAGAAAAAAAAAGGTGAAACCACGGCTGTTCTAAATGGACAATCGGATGACTTGTGAAGCGGAAACTGTTGTGTATAGCCGTACTTAACACCATATACATGTATAAGTGTATAAACGGCCACAGTAGGTACAGTATAGACACGTCTTCCGATATCATCATCTCCCATCAGAGGGTGAACGTACTGCAAAACCCGCGTGTCCACCGTACAGATCTCCGTGAATTATTATTTTTTTATTATTATATTATGTTATTATTATTATAGCTATTACTGTTCCGGCGGTCCGTCCAAAGAACTCGGATCTATATTTACCGGTGCTCGATTGTCTCAATGGACAGACGACCGTCCCTAACGTCATTGGTCAACAGGTGTCGTCGAACGACCTCCAGCCCTTTCTCTAGAAATATTTTTTAAATTTTACCGTATCCGATTTGGGATTTCTCGAGCACATGTACATAGGTTCGGGGTCCTTCAAATATGTTTCTCCAAAAAACTAAATATACTCACACGTCAAGTTAGACATATTTTTAGCCAGCACTTTACTGGACGCTCGATAGTGGACACTTGCACATTAATGTCTTGACATCATTGTCTTGCACATGACCCTTAATAGTCATGTATTCTTTCCCTAGGTACCACCTACTCTATTACATACATCCGATTAGTACAATAATAATATGTTCACCAGTTATTATACTCGACGTTGGCGGTGATCTCTTCATTGCCGACCATTAAAACAAATGGTCAATGCCTAACCCGTCATTAAACACTTTAATATACCTATATTGCCCGGACCTAATATAATAATACAAATTGTATTGCTACTGTACGTTTTTTTCTGCTGCTGCTACAACCAAACCACATTGCCTATTAAAATGTGAAGACTTTAGATATATTCTCGGAAATACACTGCAGAAACCTCTGGCGTTGTTTGACCGACCAATGAGATAATAATGCAGGGAGGGATAATGATTTATAGTAATACTTTTAAGTGTATAAACAATACTATGAGTATTCGAAGGACTTGACTGAATGTTGGTGACCTTAGTATGCTTACCCTAAGCTTACTATCATTTGCAAGAAGGAAAATCGGCAGTCTGCCTAGAGACAATTTAAATAAAAACTAAATTATACCCTGAAGAGGAAACCAATGGTATTAGCCTTAATAAAAAATTATTCGTGTCTGGTTTTCAGTATATATTGTTTAAAAAAAAAACAAATAGAAATAATGATAAAGAAACATTGTAAACTCCCTGATGTTGTTTTCTTAGTTAACTCCCCAGTTTCCGTTGAGCTAACGTTAAAATTGATCGACCATTCAAATTACAAAAAAGATAACATTAATTCGGTTTCTTGGTGTTCTGAACTATTTACTTGTACAAGTTTAGGCTAAAGTATACGAAAATGTATGACTAAATTCAATAAAATGAATGCATGATAATAAATTAAGTATACTTATACTAAATAATAAAAGGGTATGATATTTTCTTTCAAGATATTAAGTAGGTATTTAAATATTATTATGAATTAAATGTTTAATAACTTTAAAATAATATATTTTTATCTATAAGTTACTTAACTCAAGTTGGTAAAAAAAAGTGATCTTAATCTATTGTTCTACTTGTTTTAAGACGTGTCTAAAAGTATTATTAGGGTTTAAAAACAATATCTATTCATAAAAGTACTAAACAATTAAATAAGAAATAATTTTTGTTTATAACTCAAATAATATTTAATAAGAAACATAATATTTGTATGTCAAAAATGAATTAGTTAACTTATAATTATTTCTAAAAATTACAAATGCCTAAAAATTATATTACATTGTTATGGGCACTACAACAGCTCTTAGAACTAGCCACCAAAGTACTAAATATATAATTATTGAGTTTTTGTGAACGTATTATCATTTTAATCGTTTTGCAAATTTTGTGTATAATTTTTTATTACGTGTTTAATCTTCCACGAAAGGGTTAAATGTATTGTTGTTTAAATGTTTTACTATATATGTAGATAAATAATTAATTTGACCTTATCTAGTGGTATATTCAAAACTTGTAATTTATAAAAGTTATAATTGTTATTTTACAAGGTCGAGTAAATTAATGATTTTAACCTATTGGCATTGTTAAATTAAACTTTGATTATATATCCAGTTGTCAAGTTTAAAAAAACAAATTTGTAAAATGCATTTGATTTAATTTGAATTAACGTTATTTTACCAAATGTATTATGGTTTTTAAGTTATAAAATATATGCTCTATATTTTGTCCTAGTACAATTTTATTTGATAATAATAATTTTACTATACATTTTTTTATTATTATTACTTGATACAAAAAATTAAGTTTATTAAATTTAATTTGGTAAATTAAAACCAAATAACATAACTATTTTATTATTATTTATTTATATAAAAATAGAACAATTTATTATTTTTATTATATAAGTATTCCAATTTTTAAATTTAACTTAATAACGTCAATACTGCCCAGACTTGTAATAAAATGATTTTTTATGCTTTTTTATACATCAATTTCTTTAATTAACCAGTTTATACTAATTTATTATTTATTTTTCAACAATATGAAGCCTATTAGTGCCCTGGTCAGGTTATGGTTGATATATTGTTGTACATAACTGCAACGGTCTGTGCCGCGGTTATCTAATATTGTTTTATTTGTATATTTTTTTGTCCGAATCTCTCGTTAACCGGATAACGCATTACGGCACGAGGCGTCCGAGTGCGACGGGAAATCATTTAATTCGCATAGTATACATTATTACTGACCGTAAGATGTATCCCATACAGGTATAATCATATATTATGCCACACTTTCTCCCGCAATGGTCGGTGCATCCGATAATGCACCCCGGACTCGATTAATTATCTTTTTTTCCGTACCTATCGTTCCACGCAATGTTCTATATATACAGACCGCGGCTCGGCCGAGTAGGTACAAAAAAAAAATTAAATTTAACAAAAATTTAAACGCAAAAAAATCACAAGCAAACGGGCCGAATCAGGTATTACATACTTCCGTTCGATTTGATTTTTTTAAACGTTTTCCGCCTAACATATTATGATTTATATATTATGTAAAATCAATAAGAATATATTTTATTTAATATTTTTAATTATGATATATTTTATGTGCACCAATAAGGGTTAGGTTTCGAAATTATATTGAAAAAAAAAAATGATGTTTTTCGTCTGGTGACTTGACAATCAAAACGGAAACTAACCTATTTTTCATGTTCAAAAGGCTCCAAAAGCTAAGTGAGAGAACTAATATTAATTTTTAAAGAAAATTTGAACAATCTAATGAGAAAAGACCAATATAATAATAACATTATTATTATTATATTATATTATGTAAACCGTCCTCGGTTGGTCGTCACCGCCAGGTCGGCTAAATAAGTGGTGCATCCGTTCCGGAGTAATTACTCGGCCAATGGATTCTTATGTATAAACGGATCGAACCGTGTACAATTTCTGCGACGATGCCCCGTAAATAACAGAAGTGTGTGAAAAAAACACTAACCATTTTTCGTTCCGGAAAAACTGCTGTGGTGATAAAGAAGAAAAAGAAAAAACACTCCTCTTATATTGGTATACCAGCTCTCACGTTAGATGTTAAGTAAAATACAATATAAGACAAATATATTATTTATATATTGACCGGTTCGGTCGTTCAACGAGTGGAAAACATATCACTATATACTAATGTTTTTAGTTACATCTATGGTGTTAATATTATATACTGTATAAACAAAACTCACTTTGAGAATATCATCATTACGACGGGATGTGGTGTTCGCGATTATTGAAGTTTTTGCTGAGGAAACGAACGGGACCGGTAGAGCAAAAAAAAAAAAATAATAATAAAATTTAGAAATTATGTGAATTTCTTAAATTAAAATTTCTGATCGTTCTCCGTCGTTGGGTGCACGATTTCTCGGATGCGACTCCGGGACTCGAGCGAAGAAACTTGAAATTGAATTTACCGTCGACTGCGATACGAATTAGCCAAGGAGAACGATATAAATATGTGAAAACCGAATAACTAAATAGGTAAACCGGTGATCGTTGTTGAACAGGGGTTTGCGTTTCCAAGACGTCGTTGTCGTTTCGATGGCGCCGGTGCACTGATACAACGAACGTGTCCCGAAGGAAACAAGAAGAGCAAGTGCATTGGTACAAGCAGAAGAAGAGCTGTGGAAAAATCGGTTGTTCGGTTTTCCCACCTGTTTCCTAGCGAATATTCTGCTGAATTCGGCCAATAAGCGCGGGGGCCGTCTTTGGCGTTTTCCCGCTCGAACCGTGGCCCGTCCGCAGACGGTGGTGGGGCTTCCTGATGGTTCTTCACCGCCTCTGCGTGCCTTACATGGATGACGGACGGTGCACCGGCACGTAAACAACACCGGCCGAGTTTTCGGTGCAATTTAAATGTACCAACAGGTATATTATAACAATCGTATCGTTATGTTGTGCTGTACACGGCATACACGAGGTCTGTGCACGCGGTATACGATTAAGACACCGTTCGTGTATTATAAGAACCAGTAGCGGTTATCTCATAGCATAAGTGTTGCTCGGGCAGCAGTTTCGAAGAGGATGTGCTGACACCTTTAAAAACAAACAGTACCTATACAATATGTGGAAGGTCGGCATTGGCGCAACTTGAGGGGAGTGTCTAGGAAAGTTTAAATCCTTCTAAACTCGTTTAGGCTCTGAAAAAATGTCATCAACCAATCAGGCACAGTCCCCAACTAACATATAATTTTTACTAAAACTAACCGAGCTTTCAGAGTTTAAGAGATCTGAACTTCCTTAGACCCACCCCCTTCCTCTAGTCGCGCCAATGGTGGTCGGAGGAGCAGTAATCTAATATGTTTAGCGTAAAGAGGAAAGAGGTAACAGACTTCAAACAAAGACCTTAGATTATGGCCAACAAAGCACTCAGTTTTTGAGATACTGACCACTTTAAATAATACAGACTCCTAGGATCCTAGGCACAGGTTTTTCATAAGGATTAAAAGTTTTACTGCTTGTATATTTAATTTTATTTTGTTGTATAATTATTTTCTTATAAAATGTAACTTTTCTGAAATAGCAATACCTCACAATGACCGAAGACAAGGAATATTTTCCAAAAACTAATTTGAATAAGGCATCTACTGGTGGTAAAATGTATTTCTCTGCTCTTTCTCGACCTCTTTAGAGAACCAAATGACGAAGTAATAAAACTGATCAATTATTGGCTCGAAAAAGGAATTTGATATAGCTGACTGACACGAAGAAGAAGAAAAAGAAGAATTTAATTCTAAGCTTTTTTTAGAAAATCGATTATTATGTTAATTATAATTTCTTCTGGCAATCAGAATATATTAATTTAAATCTGAAAATTTACTAATGAATTTCGAATATTTTTAGAAGTCGGCTCTACAGCAAAAAGTAAATGCTGTCAGAACAGTGGCAATGGGATAGTCAATAGTTTGTGTAGACGTTTTATGTCTAAGAGACATATAGGAATATTCATGAAAACACATTGACACGAATTTGTAGGAAAGTCAGCACGTTCTTAAATACAAGCAAAATCATTTCCATATTAATTTTTAATTTATCTTGAGATTTTCACGGATTAACCGATCTTTGTAATTTTTAAGTCGTTGAATAGTAGCATTTTATTGCAAGTACACGTTAATTCCACAAACCGTCCAGTTTTCATATCCAAGTCTGAAGACGGGGTTTAACAAAGAAGAATACCTAATGGAAGAAACACGCTTAGACGAGCGGGAATGCTTCATTATTTAACAATCTATTACAAGACATTAGTGTTTGTAATCGTTTTTTTTTTGGGGAGTTGCTCGTTCACTTTACTAATCGTTGTTAAATATCTTGTTGTTCAACGCACTCGTGTTGTTCTTTGTTCAATTAATGCCAAACGCGGTTGGAAGACTCGTTTTGATTGCTTCGGTTAGAAGTAGCTAGTAATATTTATATTAATAGTCTTCTACTGTACCGACAGCAGTTATTATTATAATGTATAAAATATCGATTAATTTATACATATACAGAGCAATAATTTTTTTTTTATAATAGCTTAAGGTATTAAATTGAATGTACAATGTAATATTACATATTTACACACAATGCATTTATTTATTTAGTTGGTCCATTGAACAGAAAATACCCTATCGAGTATATTGAAAACTACTGCTAAAGGGATCATCTCTTTCGACATCCTTTCCATCCCAATGCACATTCCGTTATGTTCTGTGATGATTAATGAGATATTATTATTTAGTGTTAAACATAATAATCTGTTATTTAAGCCTTATGACACAGCATCGAAACCCGTACGTGCATTTTAAACGAGATAGGAAAATAGTGTACAAATCATATTTTGTGCATACTCTAAAGTTTAAAAACAAATTTATCAAGTAATTTCATAACTTTTGAACTTTAAATTTGAAACTGAACTTTGAACAGAAAAGTTTGTTAGTCTTGACTCAGGCCAATCGGCTAAACATTTGTTTAGTTTGTCACTATAAGTTATTATTTCCCGGACGCAATATACCTATTCGAAGTACCGATTACTGACAATAGCAATAATAAAGTAATGGCAAACTCGAAGGACGAAGTGCAACACTTAAATTATAAAATATAATACAGTATATCGTTCGGATGAGCACAAAATTGTTGAGCAAGTGCTTGCTATTTCAGGTATATGTGCTTCCATAAAATACATTATAATAAAATAGGTACATGAAACATAGAAATGACACGTTTTACACCACTTTAATGAGACATAAAAAATAAAAATGCATTGACCGCATCTATATCAATTTAATTATAGCAAAGCCGCCAGTACTGCTCCTACCAAATCGTTTACCCTGTCGTTATTGTAAATTATCATATTGGTTCTTAAGACCTTTACAATAGCAATTAGGTATGCATAGTCGACAACACTGTACGGGACACGCACAATCGTTATTACTTTGGAGCTTTGGTGGTTTGGATTTATTTTACAGTCAAACAATTTACGCTCACGTTAACTCAATAAAAAAATCCGCAATTGTTAGAAATGCGAAATGATGAAATAAAAATTACATCATATTTTTATCACACACAGCAATAAATTTAGAAAATTACATACTTTTTGTTGAGGTTATTTGAGAAGTATGTTATAAGTTAACATTTTTTTGAAATGAATATTCAAAAATATGTTAAAACTTATTTTTAAACATAATTATTACAACTATTTTGAATACTGTGGTTGTTTCTTTCCCGTTTTTCGACTTTTCTATACATTTTTACGCCTTTTAAATTTTTTCTAAGCATTTTTATGGGATCCCAATTTGAAAATTACACATTTTATGTAAAATTTCTTTAGCTTTCAGAAAAAAGTTTAAGAAAAATTCTCAAATTTTGAGCAACACGAAAAAAACAGCTTTTTAGATTATAAACTTAATTTTAATAACTTTCTGTTACACGAAAAAAACAATATTTTTTTCAGAAAGTTTTTACATAAGAACCTAATTTTGGTAATTTTTTTTTATGGCTGAAAATACTATAAAAATAAAAAGAAGTGTCAAGAAAAAAACTAAAAATTCTTTTTACGATCATGGCCAAAATAGTCCAAAACAAAATCAAAAAAAAATTGAGAACATTCTTTTCATTGCAATAGACATGCATTGCAGTGTAATTTTCAAAAAAATCCTCGAGGGTTCGCTTCAACGTTCGTTCGTATTTGGCGTTTTGACCCATATATTTTGTAGCTTACACTACACTTTACCATTAATAAAAAGTTACAGACTAATAAATTAAATGTCGTGTTTAACTAAAAGAAAATATAAAAAATGGAAATGTTATTTTAAATCTCCTTTTGTCTAAACACTGAATTATTATTAAGAAAACAGCTGATAAACTGTAAGGTATTCGGTTAGAAACAACCGATATCCATAATAATTTTCATTAAAACCATTTTAACGGATCATTATTGATCATAATATTATTACAATACGAGTAAAAAACGAGTGAGACGTTTGACAATAATATGTTCCTCTTCGGTCTGGTGTTTAATCGTTCCGAGCTTAATGGACCTACTAACTTACTAATACAAATATATCACAGATTTGTCTACACCATTGATATCAAAACTAATTCGTCCACATAGCAATAATGTATAGTGTCTGATTGTATTACTACAGTTGGACTACTTGGATATTAAATGGGATACTTTGGACTTATTAGTACACGACCGATTCTCCTTGCGCTTGTTTTGCCGTGTAAGTGTGCACTCTGCACAGCTGCTGCTGTAAGCCTGTGAAGTATATTAGGCAGTGCCGGTGTCGATTTTCGAAACTGATTAGATTAGCACAGAGCGAGAATAACAAAACACAACAAGAAGACCATCTGAATCGCCTCGACAATAGGCCATTCGTTTTAGGTAACGGTGCGCGTCAAATCATTTTTTTTTCTTTTAAACATTACATACAATAAAATAAGCGGTTTAATTTGACTGAAAGAAGTATCTATCACATCCACAACAGCTGTAAAATATGAGAACGGCAATTATAATTATTATAAATATGCTATTACATATTATTATAGTATTTTACGATACACTATAATATAAATATTATACATATCAGCATTGGGCTTTTTATGATCGCAATTAATCGAAACGTTTTATATCTCGCTGTACACGACAAAAATGGTTTATAATATTCATGTCCGTGTAATCCGTAATGACGACTAAACATTATATTAATGGCATATTATTCATTTTAATAATTATACGACGGACGGCGTGCTATTAGCCAGTACTATCGAAATCAAACCGAGCATAAAAAATATATCTAGCTGAGATTTTCTTTTAAACAATACAACGATGCATTTGAACAATTCGCCTAGATAGAAAGCAAACGAGAGTACTTTTTTTTAGTAGATTTTATTTAGGTGACATTATCAGAAATATTTAAATACATTTTAATCTAGATAATCGTGTCTACCTCGATTTGGTGTTTATCCCTTGTTAAACTTTCTAAATTAAGTGATAAATTATCTTACAACAAGTCTAAAAATACGTAAGCGTAGCTATTAAATAGTATTTAGAAATTTCTACTATTAACAAAATATTGGTAGTATATATTTCTATAGATGT